CACAACAGGGGAAAACCTAAATTAACTTACTTAAAAGGTCTAGTTAAATATTTTGAACATTCCGTTGGCTTTTTGGGGGAACCGCCATGAGTTTGTCCCTCTCATCCCTTGTCCTTTCTCGGCTCCCGTTGACCTCTGCGGAAACAGTTGCTGAGACGTGAAGGAGGAGATTCTCCACGGCTGTCTCTTGGTTTCAGGGGGAAGGGATGGCATTTGGGGCTTGGCGCTGTGGTTTCTCTGCTAGCGCTACACGGCGGGTTCCAATCTCTCTGAATGCAGGCAGGTGTGACCCTCTAAGAGCAAGGCATAGGCATCCTTCAGTCTCGAGAGACTATGGTAACATGCTCTGAATCGAGGAGTGTCCTCTCCAGAGCAGGAAGCCCGGGTAAGGTAATATGGAGGATAGGCTGTTACCCAAGCAGCAGATCCCCCCTCTCCACATTGCTGAAATGGTCCAATGGAAAGGCAAGAGCCAGTACAACTGGTTCCAGCAATGTCGCAGGAGTTGGCAGAACGACACATGCTGCCTTCGGGACTCCAGCTCCGGATTTTGCCTCGAGGTTAACTCCTGAAGCCTTTTCCATGAGTGGATATAGCCACAAGGCAGTGGAGGTTTGCAATCGGAGTTTTCCTTCTCCTAGATGGGCTGCCTTCCATGGCTGACGAGCCCCACCTACCCTTGCTCTTCTTCTAAGAGCAAGGAAGGCCAATTAATGGGGTTGTGACTGGTGGTGTCCAAACAAATATTTGTGGCCTGATGTTGAACCCATAAATCTCCTCCTAAACGTAGAATGAGAATGTGCAGAGGAGAGCCTTCTCTATCCATGAAGGCTGTCTGCACAGTGGAGAGAGAGTAAGTGCAGTCATAGTTTTTGATTGCGTCAAGTGACCCGCTAGGGAGAGGAGACTCTTCCCAAAATTCTTCTCCATGCAAGAAAGAGGGTGATGGGGGAGGAATGGCCAGCACGCTCCGCTCTCTAAGGGCTGAATAGGGCTACGCACACTCTCCCAAAGAAGTATTTTGGGAAATCAGACTGGGGTGGGTGGGAAGACAGTGGTTCCATTGATTCCTCGGGACCCATGGTCAACCAAGGTACACATGTGGTTGGAAGACGTTAGGAGAGAGATGGCATGACAGATCTTTTCCATGTACGTTTTCTAAGTGGTGAACAAACATCAGCGGACTTCTTTGGACCCGGTAACAGATCCCATGAGCCATTCCTGCTGGATAGCTCTGTGGTTCAGGTATCAGCCAAAGGTTGGGTGTTCGAGTCCCCACACACCAGGATGCTTCCTTGATAGATTCTGTGATCCATAGGGCTCCTTCCATGATGAGGATGAGGATGATTTTTCGCTGGCAGTCTTTTCATCACTTGAGAAGATTCTGTAGGGCAACATTTTGTCACCGAACCCAATTAATGTATTCAACATTGGTATCTTTGGGCTTATTAACATCTTGCTTGTTTTTATTCCCAAATCAGAAACAGTTTGAGAACACACACCCCTCTCCCCCCCCCACCAGCTACCCCTGTGCTTCATTCCCCTGCTTCTGGTAGTCTGAAAAAAGAAATCCACATTATTTATCGTTCCAGCTGCCCTGAAATTTGCAAATCATAGACCTTACACAAATACAAAGCTTTGGAGGGGCCGAAATGCTCTTTCGTCATTACCGGCAGCTTTTCTAGATTGTGCGATGCCTTTTTTTCCTTTTTCTTTTGAAGTATTTCAGAATGTTCTTTTTATGCTACAATAAGGCTTTCTCTGTATTTGTGAAATAATTTTTTTAAAGATCCTTTCATACCCAGCAAGCCTCATCTCATCTCGCAGTAATGCGTGTTGATATGCCTTTGAGTTCTCATCAGCAGCCTATTATTCTGAAAGACTCCCGTGTCACATTTTCAGCTTCAGCCAATGTCCATGCAAGCAATTCCGGTACTTAACACTTATGTATAATTGCAGGATAGACGTGGTGTTAACTTTGGTCCTACCTTCCAACCCTCCGCAGAAAGTGTTAATTCTACATTAACAAAATAAAATAAGCCAGGGAGATCACTCTATTCTATTCTATTCTGTTCTGTTCCGTTCCATTCCATTCTGTTCTGGACACTGGACTTTAAGAAGGATGCCAATAAACTGGAGCAAGCTCAGAGGAGGGTAACAAGGATGATCCGGGGACTGGTAACCAAGGCCTAGGAAATAACTAGGACGGAAATAACTGGGCATGTTTAGTCTTCAGAAAAGAAAACTGATGAGAGATAGGATAGCACTCTTCAAATACTTGAAAAGTGGTCCTACAGAGGATGATTTGTTCTCGATGTGCACGACACATAATAACAGAATCAAGCTACAGGAAGCCAGATTTAGACTGAATATCAGGAAAAACTTCTTAACTGTTAGAGCAGTAGGATAATACAACCAATGACTTTGAAAGGTGGTGAATGCTCCAACGCTGGGGTTCTTCAAGAGAAAATTGGACCATCCTCTGTCAGATCTGCTTTGATTTGGATTCCTGCCTTGAGCAGGGGGGTTGAACTCAATGGCCTTATAGACCTCTTCCAACTCAATTGTTCTATGATTCTATGAGTTGCTTATTTACTTCCCGAATTATCCCGTCCGCAGTAATATTTCCCATCTCTGGTAAAGGACACACATATACTCCAGCCTTCTGGAAGGCTGCTCGTAGGAACAGGAAACCAGGCTGCATAATTGTTAAGACGGGGCGTTTTAATGTGCTTGAGGAGATCTGCGTTCCTCATCTGCCAGTAACAAAGTGGAGGCAGGTTCGTTACCTGTGTTCTGCACTGGGCGAGCCGGTTCGCCCAGAAAACTTTAATAGCAGCTGTGATGAACATCTGGCAGCCTGATCTATCCAGGGAGAACATCCATTTGGAAACCTGCCCTGGAGTCTTCAGAAATGAGATTCTGAGCTTCCCTGGCCCAGGCCAATCACAAGCGTTAACAGGACTGAGGTTTCCATGCCAGGGAGAACAGATGGGCTGTGTTGTAACTGGGCGATGATGAACTCAGCCTTCGTTGCTATTAAGCAGGCAAGCCGAACTCTTTCAGTAGACAAACCGGATGGCTATGGTGGGCCTTCCTGGTTTCTGTTTTGCTCTGGATTACAGCATTTTATTTATTCATGTATTTAAAACATTTTTACGTACTCTGCCTTTCTCCTTAAAAGGACCCAAGGCAGCTTATGCCCTTGAAAGACAATATTCAAAGCTGAAAACAATGAGTACAGAGATATTAAAAAGAAACAAACAAATGCCACTCTGAGAAATAGTAAACACAAGTAGTCCTGAAAACCCAGTCAACACAGTATAACTTGGAGGAGCTTGAACGTAGAGTGCAAATCTGTGTATCTGTAGCCAGAGGACAAAAGATATTAGACTGAATTCAAGTTAAAAAAATAATAATCTTTATGTAGCCTTTGGAGCCGGCTTCCTCCTTTTGGCTCCCGTAATCCTGGAAGCTGTTTTAAAGGTAGACATTCGACAAGCAAAACTCTGAAAGGGGATAAAAAGTGGTGCCCCACTTACACAGAGCAGATTGTCTCTGCTGGAGGCTTTTATTCCTTGCTGTAAGGCAGTGAAATAGAAGCGTTTGAGTCCAGGGATGGCTGACAGGAGAAGAAGTTAAATTTTCCTGTAATGGGAGGTATGGCTTACACGCTTGATGTTCCTGGAGCTATTCAGTCCATAGGAAACCGGACGGTGTGTTTTGTTACTGTTTTTTTTAAAACAAAAAACAAAAAACAAAACACGTATTTCAAAGAAATACAATATTCAAGGTTCTTGACAGCTCCTTCTTTATGCTAAGAATGGCTTGAATTAATTTGTGTTTGAGGGTGTTTCTTGAGCTCTCTCTGGCCGATGATACACTTGGCATTTTGTGCACACTCAAAATTTAGTAGTGGTGTTGGTAGGGGTAGGAGCGTGCCTAGAGGAAAGGAGATAATGGTACTTTTCTCTTCTGCTTGGGTCAGATCTCCCCTGGGATCCTGTGTCCAGTTCTGGGCATCGCAGTTTAAGGAGGACATCAACAGCGTAGAATGTGAGCTCTTTTAGAGTGAAATCATCATCATCCTCATCTTAGAGCTGCAGAGGTGGAAGGGACCCTGCGAATCACAAAGCCCAGCCCTTGTCAAGGAGGCCTAGAGGGGAATCGAACTCCCAACCTCTCTCTCTGCAGCCAGAGGTCTCAGCTGGGAGCTGGTCTCTGTGACTTTGGGGGGGCTTTTCCAGCTCAACTCTTCTGTGACCCCAGGATTCTAGCCATGGCAGTAGCAAGGTTCCTCAGCTGGAAATGCAGGATTACAAGCATCTGGTTTAATTAGCTAATTAAGGAGTTTGCAGTTTGTTTTGCAGATGAGTCCCCAAGTGTAAGAATGAGGTTAGGGTTAGGCACCATCCGGCTTTTCCATTTCTCCCTCAGGTCAGCCATCCTCATTTCCCATTCTGGCCTTGAGGCGGAAAGGTGCCACTTTGCCTTTTGCCAAAACGCAGGGCAGCAGAAAGGGGCGGAAGTGTCAGGTGGTGGTTGGATCGAAGTGTTTTGGGTGGGGTGGAGTGGGGTGGGGGGGTCATTCTCCACAGCTGCAGGGCGGTTGAAGCTGCAGTACCATGAGGGTGGGAGGCAGTGGAGAGCACTGGTCCCTTGCTGCCTATCCAGTGCCCATCCAGCAGGTTTCGCCCCAAGAGCCTGCAAAGGCAGCGTTTCATAGCATCATCCTACAGGAGCAGCAAGGGTTCAGGATGACCGGTTGGACTGGGAGTAAGAGATACAGGGGAACATCCCTACCCTTGACCATCCTCCAGGCAGGTTGTTGGGGGAGACGTTCATGAACCCGTCTGTTCTGTTTGCAACATAAGATCTCCAGAGAATCCTGTGTTGTGCTGAAAACCATCTCAAAATAAAGCGGGCCACCTTGAGAATTCTGTCAGATGATAAAAGAGCCCTACCAATGCCTTACGTCTCTCTCTCTTTTGCCTTCAAAGGTTGGAGTCGGCCAGGGACCACGTTCTGCCCATTGACTATTACTTCCCGCCCCAGAAGACTTGCTTGATTTGTGGTGATGAAGCTTCCGGGTGTCACTACGGAGCGCTCACCTGCGGAAGCTGCAAGGTCTTTTTCAAAAGAGCAGCTGAAGGTAATTCCTCTTTTATTTCTGAAGGAGAGAGAATACAGATTGAAAAATGCTTGTGGAAGATGATTATGGGTGCCACCAATTAATCTCACTGGAAGGACCGCTGTGCTTGATTTCGTATCAAAAATGTTGTCTTTGGTGGTGCAAAATCTCTTCAGTAACATATTGTAGTGCTATTGTTCCCCCTGTGGGAAGTGCATTTCTATCCTGTTTTATCTCCAAACCAAGCGATATAATTTTTCTGACTGAGTAATTTTTCACTTCCACTGGGGTGTTATATTCCTCTTCTGATTGGTCATCTCGTATGGCCTAGTAGGGTTTTTATGTCCCATTGAGAAATTATATGGAAATGGGAAAAATTTCATTCAGCTGAATGGCAAGAAAGATGGTGGGCTTAAATTACAAGGAGAGTGGAAACAGTCCAGCAGTTGAAAGCCCATGGATTTGGTAATATTAGCACCACGGTAGATCTGAAGATGACGGCTGGGGATTTCAGAGTTGTAATTTTTCTACTAATGCTAACATCAACTAAATGTGCTGGCTTCTGACGGTAATGAGTCACCTGCCATTTTTTTAATGGTGTCATGGAGGAAGAAGGCGCTTCTTGGTCTATCAGCCCACATGCTTTCATTTTGGAGTCAGGCTTGATGTTCTTTCTAATATTTTTTCTCCTCTGCCATTGCTGGGCATTTCGATGCTTGGGATTTTCACATTACTCAGAAAGGCTCAATCGATGCTCTTACGTAGTGCCACATTTTTTTTTACCATGTTATTTGTGTCCTTTTTAATATTACCTAAATATCCTGCACTTTGCTTCTCCAAGGGAAAAGATGCTCGTTTTGTGCCGAGGCCGACTTGCACATATAATACAGATCTTGATAAGAAAAAATAGCACACCTTGCCTTTCCCTTACATGTAGGAAAAGGATCTTGAGAACTCTTCATCTGCGCTGTCATCAGCCCAGTAGCTGCACCCTTAAAGCAGAAGACAGAGTTTTCTGTGACACGGATCTCTCATTTTCCGGTGCTTCCTGGCTGCTAAGGCAGTTCCAGACGGAGCCTTGGGGAATTCACACTCCTTAGGAAAGATGTCTTTTCCAGAGTTCTCAGAGTTGTAGCCATGTTAGTCTGAAATAACAACAAGAATCACAAAACAAAACAAAAAGGAAAAAAATGTTATGGTATATTAAGGACAAAGTGGGGTTAAGAGGTCCAGGCAGTCGGGGTGCTTCAGTATGCAACTGAGCATCATGTGGCCCATAATCCCCGCCCGGTGGTGCAGGAGACAGAATGCTATCTTGGTTGAGCCTGGGACACCTGAGGCCGCAAGGGCTTTGTGATGGAAGACCTGCCGGTGACTTCCAGGTCTTCTGCTCACCTGCATGTCAGGAGGAGGCACAGCATTTCCCTTGCCAAGTGTGTGGCTGGGGATCAGGGCCCTGAGTTTGTCTGGGGAGCTTTGTCCCTGTCGCAGGTGAGCCTCGCATCAGGAGCGCTCCAGGCGGACCCCGGGAGCTCGTCCCAGACTTTTCTTAGCTGTACGTGGTGGCAGGCGATGCTCAGCCCCCGTCAGAGTGCTGGCGGATGTCGCAGCCTCCTAGCACTTCTCGCCCGCAGGACTGCTGTTCAATTTTCACCTGTGGATTTCCCTGCTAGACCCAGAAGTGGGAGAGCAACAGGCATTCATAATTGGCTCTGGAGGTGCGCAGGCAGAGTGTGCATGCGCAGCAGTGGCGCCCCTAGAAGAGGTTGCTGCTGATCCACCGACGCGAGGGGCTCCTTTGCTACCTGGGGAGGGTCCAGGCTCTCTGGCCAGTCCTTTCCTATTTAGTGTCTGCCTACTCAGGCAGTGGCGAGGGTCTTTTCTGAAAGATTGTCACAGCCATATAAAGCAGGGGTTCCTGGACTTTTTCAAAGTGTGACTCCCCTGGCTTACTGGTCATGGCTCCCCCAATACGATAATTTGGCTGGCATGGAGAAGTGGGGGGGGGAGAGAGCCTGGCCTGAGTAGTACCTCTGCAGATTCTACAGCACCCCTGGGTGCTGGGTCTGGCACTGCCCTGGGCTGCTGCGGCACGTGGGTTGGGAACCACTGATGTAGGGCAGAAAAGAGGGTCCTGCTCCCCCCTGCACACCCAGGAAGAGGTTCTGCAAGGTGTGGATATCGGGGTTCCTGAGGCCCCCGGGGGACAACTCGCCAGAGCTGCCAGGGCTGATGTTTTCCTAGGTTTGCTTTTTCAATTTTGAAGGGCAAAGTAGATGATGCTCCGACCACACGGGGTTCAAGTAGCCATTTCAGAAGATCCTTTGGGGCTAACAGCAGCAGCAGTGATGAAGTGGAGTCAGAAGTCGTGGGGTAGACAGGGCTTTTCTAGTTAGCAGGGTTCATGACATCATCTGCCACCCCCCACGCAAGCTTCCCTCTGACCTTAGCTGCAATCCTCATTATAACGGTAAGAGAGATTAACTTTCCTGAGTGTAGAATATCATTGCCATATATTCCTGATATACTGCAAAGCTTTGTTCTCGACTGGGCATTTAAGAGCCATTCACTTTGCAAAAGACCTGCTCCTCATTGATTCATACAGACTGATCCATCTGTCGACATGTTTGGTTACCGATACCACGGTGAGATGGGTGCCTGCATTTCTGAATTTGCTTCTGCACTGCTGAGTAGCAGCCTGGATTTGTAGCCAGTTCTATAGAGGGTGCTAGCAAGAAGCAGGGGAAGGGGGGGGAAATAACCCAGCCTCATCATCGGATGCCACAGGTTGCTTCTCTGTGGCCCTACGCTGTTGTCCGACTGGTGGTGGGCCGCCCACATCTTTCTCTGGCTGCTGCATCAGTCCCCGTTGCCCGGCCAACCCTTGGAAATAACATGCCCGACGGTGAAAGAAGCAAGAAGCAGTCTAGGCAGGCAAGCGAGCAGGGGAAGGGGAGAGAGGAATGCCAAGGTTGGCGTTTGCCATGGCAGTGAGGAGGAGGGAGAGGGAGCTGCAGGGGACCAGGCAGTAGAGAGGCCTCTCGACCTCACCTTGCTGTGAGCCCGTTCGCATCAGGCCACCCCCTCCCTCCCCTCCTCCCTCCCTCTGTTCCAGCCCCATCACCGGAGGCACAGGGTGCCTTTTGCGAGGGCAAGCATCCTGCCCACATTGACCCATCGTCACCCAAACGCTTCACAGGCCATGCAGGTTTTGACTGCCATCCCTGTGGTCACAGTGAAGCCGGGGCTCACCAGCCAGCCAGCATCGAGCGAACGAGCGAGCGGTCTGATGGGGGAATAGAAGACCTTTTCCCCGGTGCTATTTTCAGCCCACAGTGATGGCATAGCTATATTTAGGGGCCAAGAGTAAAACTGGAGGCTGCCTTGGGTTGTCTTGCTCTGTTTCCCTCATTGCACGGTGAACAGGGTGAAAGTTGATGTCGGCTTTAAAGCAGAACGTCATTTAAACTCACCCCCCCATCAAATCTTTCATGAACCTCCTCAGATGTGAAGGCCCGGGGTGGTGACTAAGGCGGAGCAGGCGGCATTCCTGCTACGTGGCAGAGAGGGTCATAAGGGGCACTGCTCGCCCGCTGGGTGCCAAAATCCCCAGCTACAGCTTTGCCGAGATCTTTTTCACTGCC